TGACTGAATTCTTCTGACTTTTTACATGTGTAAAATATTCAAACCACACTAATACAAGTCCTGCATTAAGTTAAGTTAAGTAAATAAGAGGAAAATATCACGTACACAACTAAAAGTACTCATCACAGCCTACTCCTTTCAGAGTATTATTTTACCTGCATGGTGCCAAAATGAATCGCAAAAATTTTACATATAGGCCTACTTTTCAGTTCAAATCTAATAATAATGCAGCATGTATTTTAATAAAATCACATGTTCTGTAGGCTTATATAAAATCTTAATGTGCAAAATAGCTCTTGATAAAATGAAATTCCTGGAATAAATGTTGCCTTGTGAATGAAACTTGAAACATAATGCAAACACTCACTTAAAGTAAACTACCTTAAAACTGCACTGAAGACCTGTGCAGTATTTCAATCAATCTATTTAGCAGCTATCCACCACTTTTCAGCAAATAATTGTCAATGTTGTTGTTCCAAGTATAGCCCAGGCATAATCAGCCATTTTACTTTCATTTATATTGCTTTGCTACATATCAGGATGTCTTAATATGTTTCACTTTTTTTTAAATGATTTTTTATTGTTGTTAATACTATTATGGTAATATTCTGTACAGCAGTTTGTGACCTCGCTCTGTAAAAGGTGCTATACCAAATAAACATATTATTATTATATTTATTCAAATGATGCTTTTCCTGCCAAATAGTAATGTGTAGTGAATAAAATGTAAATTCAAAGTAAATGAAAAGTCTTGTTTTGTAAAAAGTGTGGGTTTGAAATATTTGAACACCTCCTCTGCAGCTCCTCCACAAATAAACAGTCAGCAGCTCCCCTCCCTTGTAGTAATTCCAATCTGTCGCAAGAAACCAATGTTTCCTGTTTTTTTTTTTGTTTTCAATAGCTTCAACAAGAAAGAAATCTGTCAATTTAAATGTGATTGTACATTTAAAAAATGTACATGTATAGTTCACTACATGAAAAGGAGAAATCTTTCCTCTCATCTCGAGTCTTCTCTCCGTCCAGCACCCATGGGTCTCGTCCCTGTCAGCATGAATGATAGGAACAATTAAAAGAGAGCTCGATCAGACACTTGCTCCTGAATGTGCCAAAAGATGGTATTTCCACCACAGGAGTGACTTTATCGGACATCATCGACTCTTTTACAAGCACTCTGCTATGTAAGGGCTGTTTACAGGCCTGCTGGGACATTCTGATTGATATACCATGAAGTAGTGGTAATTAATGGCAAACTTTTCCCCCTGGAAGGCTGAAGACGGGGCAAAGGCAACAATTAGGAAGCGACACAGGACCTGTAGGAGCACTTAAGGCCCCCTGAAGACCCATCAATCAGACAAGGATAAAAGGGTTGAGTGCGAGGGTAATGTTTAACCGAGAGGACATCGTCAAACCAGGACGATGGAGGGGAGACCATCATTGCTGTGTAAAGAACAGAGAGAGGCACTGGGTTGTATGGGTGACAGGGTTTACTATGCACCAGGTCAAAAAGTGTTAACAAGCATGTTACCTTCTGAAGGATGCTTCTGTGGCTCAAGTGATTGTGCCATGGTAAGAAATGTTGGGCCATTCTTTATGGATTAAGGTATTTTGAGATTTTGCGTATAGCAAAGACATCTAAATCCCCAACAAAATATTTTCAAATTGAGGATTACTTTGCAAGGAGAGCACTGAGCACAGTAAAGGGAGCACTTGCAAAACTCAACCTACAGCGGTGCTGCAAAGAAACACAGCAGAGGGAGGCTGTTAGAGAAATCAGAAGGGGGGGAAATCGTTTGCTGTGTGGTCATGTTAAGATTTGAAGATTTACACTCCCTTGTTTTAGTGATAAGAGCAGTACGATCCTGCAGACAGCCCTCCCTCCCTCCCTCCCTCCGTGCCTGCCTGACTCATTGCTTGCTCCCTCTGAGAGCCACAGGTGTGAGATGAGACAAGAAGCTGTTATCAGAGCAGACCGGGAAAGGTCAGGGGGCTGGAGATTGCAGCAGGCTCAATCAACAAACCAGACAGGTGGTAGACTGAGTTTTTCTCTTTTAATGGTCACCTCAAAAAGCCATGTTGGTGTATAAACCACACCTTGTAGTTTAAAAGAGATTCTGCAGCATAACTTCTGTTTTACAAATATGTCCGAGGCTTAACTAATTTACCATATTGCAGAAACAACAACCTTAAATATGTGGTCTAAGCAAGTAGAATGGACATAGTGTGCTACATGCATATATTCATATAGTTATTCTGTTCAAATCTTTGAGGCATAAGATCCCAGATGTAGTTCTCCATAAACCTCTGTTGTCCAGGTGTGTGAACCTGGCCTCACACGGGCTAATCCCCCTGCTTCCCCCTCCCAGTGAGAACTCATCCACCTGCTCTGCCAACAAGGAAAGAGACTCATCATGAATCATTAATTGTCATCACTTAATAATTAATCCCATCAAACACTGAAAATGCAGATGCCTACCAGCTGCTGCCCCTCATTGGCTGTGTGTGTGTGTGTGTGTGTGAGCGTGTGTGTGTGTGTGTGGGGGGGGATAATGATTGTAGTTAAAGATGCTGCAAGAAGGGTTTCTTGGAAGCAATTTGAGAAAATATTATGGATTATTTGTACCATTCCATCAACCTTGAAAATAAATTGAATTATATATATCAGTGACTTCCACACTTGTAATAGGTTGAGGAGTTTGTAGTGTAATTAACACATAGTGAAGTAGATGCCATTTAATCAACTTAAAAGTCACGTCAGTTTGCCATAGATTTGTGATGGCCTTTTTAAAAAAAATATATAAAAATCATGCCACACTGATGCAGGTTACGTTTGCAGAACATGCAAGTTATTTCAACTTTGTAAAATTGGTATCATTAATCATCAAGGAGATACAAATAAACAAATAAAGGCTAGATAAAATGAATAATTTGGATATTCTCTTTAAATAACCTAATAACTCAAAGTATTTCAGCTTTTGTAATGGACGTACTGGGATTCAAGCATCAAACATCCTATACAGGAAAGCAACTTTTTTTTCCTGTTTTATTTTTATTAAAACAAAATTCACATAAACATTTAGAAATATATTATAGCATAACCAAAACAAATACGTGGAGGAACCATCCTCTTCAAACGGCAATGAGGAGAAAACATTAAACCCAGCAGATCAACCCTGATTCTTCCTAGGAGTCTCTGACTCATCGAGTAGTAAGAAGCTGCATTCTGCTCGTCCATCTGCACACACAGACGAGTCCCCGGCCCCGGCTCAGCTTCACTATCACTGCCTGCTGACTGCTGGTGTTGAAAGTGATCCAGAATGCAAAACCTCAGCCAAGCTGTGGTGCTAAGATTATCAGAGCAGCAACAAAAGAAAGCTGCCCAGCCCAGACCTCCTGACATTCAGTGGAAGCACAGTCAAAGCAAACAATGGCCTTCACTGGTCCACCAGCCATGACAAAGTCAACAGCCAACACCAGGACTGTTTGACTGAACATGCTCAGCAGATTTCTGTCTGGATAATATCCTGGCTCAATAAGTCAGCTGAGGTCTGTGTGTCCAAAAGTGGTTACATGATAAATGAAGCGACTGTGATTCTACAGAGACATCATGTTTAACACCATCTGTGAACAAGCAATTACTCTACTGTTTGAGAAAAGATTCAAAATCAAAGAGACAGAGCGCATGATTTGAACAGGGCCGTTTTTTTTCATTGTTGAAGTTTATGAACCGATCCTTCATCGAATGATGTGTGCACTTGCAACACGCACACACAAGGCAGCCACTTCATAAACATGCTGCACTCAGCACCTGTTTCTCTTTGAAAAAAATCTGATAAAATGAAATCAGAAAATTAAGATCAGAGTGAGCAACTGCTCCCTACAAATGCACTAATAGACTTTAGAAGTCAGTTATTTAAATTTCAAATGATTTTTCTAAATAACTGAATATTTTTTTAAACTTGTATAAATCCAGAAGGATCTTAAAAACATTATAATAATTCAGAGCTGACCTGGAAAACAGCATACCATGAAAAAGTTTTAAGAAATATGTACAAATGAATAAAACATACTTAGAAAACATTTCTGCATCTGAAGAACATATTTGGACATCAGAACCCGTAAGGTCGAGGCTGTTAAAGGAGGGTGTTGTGAATGAACCCTATAAAGTGACAAACTAACAGGATGAAAAAAAAAGGGCCAATTCATTATATAACCAGCATTGAGGGGAAGAAAATCTGTCTCCCTGCAGACTCAGTCTGAACAAATTGCAAGATTTAGAAGGTCAATCTCTGGCCTATAAAAGCATGAAACACAGCACAAAATAGCTTTTGTGCGAGAAAATGCTTTTTCATTGTACAAAACACAGAGATAAATAACTGCAAGAGAGGCTTCTCTTTAATGGGTCATGTGTCTATGCTCAATCTTAATTATGTATGAATGCATCATCTGTGCATTCATTTTGCAAATATGTCTTATTTTTGTTTTTAGTTCATGCAGTCATTAGCTTCAGAATATTGTTTTTTTTTTACCCACACAGCACAGCAGCAAACTTGTAGGCTCTTCTAATAATGTTGTTGTCATCGTGGCATCGTGTCACACAGTTTGTCTTCCAGAAAGCCAAGTGGACCCACAGTTCATGCCTGGGGCCAAACTGGCGCCATCAACTTCCTGGGCACAGACATGAGCACGGGCACGACAGCTCTATTTTTAAACTTCTTATTAGAGCAGACCTGTTTTTCAAACGAAGGCTGAAATGATAAGACATCAGCAGGGGAAAGGTCAGTGTTTGGGTGGTTTGAACCTACAAAGCAGAGTGAGGCTGTTATGTTTGGCAGGTGGAAAAACGTACACTGCAAAGTCGTGCATTTGAATTTCAAAAAGCAAGTATGACACGTGAGTGACATGGAAATGTAGCATCGTAAATCATTAAAAAAACAAACAAACAAAAAAAACACGTCCGTTTACGTCATGCAAAAAAAGCTGCACGGTCCCTTTAAGAGATACAAAACAATATCCTACTTCCTGTATAGTAGCGTTAGCGTTGAACTTCTAAGCTATGCTTCTAAGTCATTTATGCATTTAATTATATAAAAAGCGCTGCTGACATATGGACAGCGCCGTTGTTGTCGGTGGTGTGTTTTTACATTTTCAGACCTAGCTGTATATTATGTCCGAAAGAAAAAGAAAGAAGGTAGTATGTACAGAAGCAGCAGTCGCACCTGAACACATTTTAGCCGAACATAAACACCAGACGGATTTGACGCCAGAGAAGCAGACTAAGCATGAAAGTGCTGCGGTAGGACGAAGCCATTATTTTACCACCAACAATGATCTGCAGTCAAGACTGGGGGAGGATTTTTTTCACCAGCCGTGCATCAGTTTGGCTAAAGAGTTCCTCGGCAAGGTAATATCACAACCTACATTTTCCTCCCAATTTGTGAAGGATTCTGTTGGGGACATGCAGCATGTTGCAACGACTGACTTGCAAACTTTGTGTTTCGTGCAGGGTTGAAGTGACCTGTCTATTCCAAACACTGTGCTACATAATCTTAACAACTCTAATTTCAACTAAAAGTGCAATTTTATGTAGAAAAATAATATTTTTGTGGTCTTGAAAATGACAGCAAATGCAGGTTTTGACAGCCTAGGATCATAGCTTGATTTTTTAAAATCTACCATCAGCAGTTCAAAACCAAAAAGGCATTAAGTTTACTCTCATTGAAAAGGTTTTTGTTTCATGAATTCATTATATCGGCCAACAAACTGAAACAAAATCTGTCTTGTTCCTTGTCCCCCTGCAGGTGTTGGTGCGAATGTGTGCAGATGGCTCTGAGCTGCGAGCAAGGATAGTGGAGACTGAGGCGTACCTTGGAGGAGAGGACAAAGCCTCCCACTCTGCGGGAGGCAAACGCACTGAGAGGAACACCGCTATGTTCATGAAGCCCGGCACCATCTATGTGTATCCAATCTATGGCATCTACCTCTGTATGAACGTGTCCAGTGAAGGTAGAGCCACAGGTGTTCCTTATGATAAGCCCTTTTTCAGCTGCATGGTAACAGATCACTTTTAAAAGGTCCTTTTGAGGTCTATGTGAATTCTAACAAGTGTGTTATATGAAATACAATTTTACAAGGGAGTTTTCAATCATCAGTGGGTGAAGGGCAAAAAGGAAGGAGACAGATTGGAGCCTCACTGACTGATGCGTATTGTGTGCCGTTTTTTTTTCTCAGGAGAGGGTGCCGCCGTGTTGCTGCGCTCCCTCGAGCCCCTGCAGGGTCACCCAGTCATGAGGCAACTGAGGGCAGCCAGACGCAAAGAGGGAGCCCGACAACTGAAGGACAAAGAGCTCTGCAATGGTCCGTCTAAGCTGTGCCAGGCTCTCAATATACCCCACTGCTTTGACCGTCGAGACCTAGCCACAGACCCAGAGGTGTGGCTGGAGAGGGACCCAAACAGCGATCCAAAAGCAAACCATGATATAGTATCAGCACCACGTGTTGGATCGAGTCCCATGGGGAGTGGGCCAAGAAGCCTTGGCGCTTTTATCTTCGCGGCCATCCCTGTGTAAGCGTGGCGAACAAAGAGGCAGAAAGACAGTCTCTGTCTGGTAAAGTGATGAGCAATTTGGGGCCCTCCGATGTGCAGTCTGACACAGGACAGCACAATGTCAAAAGGACTTAACAGGAATAGTCATCAGACCATTCAGCCATCTGTTCCCTTTTACTAAGCCAGTATGAAAAAAATGTATGTTGTCTATCCAACATGTGAAATGAATAAGTTTCAAAATGCTTCCATAATATTTATTGGCAATGACTCAAAGTTTAATGAAAAGTTATGGATCAGAACTTTAATAAGGTAGATTGAAACTTAATTTATAAGGTTTAATTAAAAAAAGTTCTGAAATCTACTTTTAGTCACTCATAATTCTTTTTTTTTTGTTTATGTCTAACAATCTGAATTTCTCCTCTCAGTGGTTCCACAGATGTTTGGAAAGATCTCTCTTTCTCTCAAAGGAAAAGCAGCCTGTGTCTGATGTTTAGAGTCTTGCCTTTCTCGCTGTCTTTCTCTCCCCCACCTTCGGGATTCCTGAGGAGAGGCAGTTGGACGTCTGGAATAATCATTACTCAAGTGTGCCCCTCTGGTCAGTACAGATGATCGAACACATCTGGGACAGGAAGTCGGAAATTAAACACAATTTCTTCAAGTTCAATAAACAACTGAGGCGTTTTTTTTTTTTTTTTGGTATGTACAAAATAATTTAATGTTGTAAACAAAAAAAAAAAGGCTGATAAAAGAAAAGCTATTTCTTCATTGTGTAAATCTGCACACATAAACGTAATTACTGTGTCACTTTATTTTAAAAGAGCGTTGTTGACGAACAGCACTTAGCTGTGAGAACAGCAGGCTATTAACTGTCATCATTCCTGTGGGTGAGCGCTGATACCGTCCCTCTCGCCGTGGCACTACTCCATGGGGGACTGAAAGATTGAAATAATGGGATCCTCGTGGTTGGTCACCACGAGGACACTGCGGAACTTGTCAAACAGTGTCTTGAGCTGCGAGCGCCTCATGTTCTCATTGTACATAATCTCTTCCAGGTGGTGATGACCTCGGAAATAGTGAAGCAGCCTGGAAGAAGTCAACATAACAGAGAGATTACACAAGATTAGTTCAAATCAACCATGACACCGTACTTGTAGATCTGCAGACAGTTTTCTTTCTGTGCAGCAGGTAGCACTGAGCTATGACTCCTGCATTGGCAGTGGTGGTTCTAGAGTCTGCTGGGGCCCTTGGCAAAAAAATGATCAAGGGCCCCTCCAAAAACTATTATTTCAAACATTGTCAAGATGCTCTTCCTCTTCCAGTGGAGAACTTCAGTTTTCACAAGAGTAATACATGACATGCTAAGCAGGGCAATGAGAGGGAGTGCTGTCAGATGGGGCCCCACTAGGGAGGTTTCCCCACTGTCGTTGCAAAATTTGCGTATTCTGAGCTACTGCTGTGGTTTAGAGATTTTCCACCCTCTGGGTCCCCAAGCAGTTGCCTGCCCTGCCTGTTGACAAGCAGTGCCTCTGTGCACTGGTTAACCTTATAAACATTTCCTATTTTCAGTATGCGCTGAACTGAAAGCTGGCAAATCATCTTGATTCTCCATTTTCTATTACAGTTTCCTAACATTAAATAAAAACTATTTTAATAAGGCCACTCTCCAAATGAATGCAGATTTATTTCCTAAGAGACAAGGCACTAACAGTGATTTGTAACATCATTTATCACCAAAATTCAGCGTTGCTGTTAAGGCGCCTTCAGGCTACATGACATAGGCAACCATGAAAGTTCATTTGAAATGACTGAGAGAGACGGGTCTAATAAAAAGCTTGTTTTCAATTTGTGGCAGATTGCACAAGATCATGAGGTTTGTTAGAAAGTGGAATGACTTTGTGGTGAATTATAAAAGCCTAATGCAAACAAGAAAAAAAGCAAACGAGGGCAGAGAAATGTTTTTCCCCCCATTAAGCATACAAATATGGCCTTTAAGAAATGATGCAGTGGTGATTGTATCTTGTATGGTGTTCTGTCGGGTTCTGGTTGTTTGGTTGGTAGCTGTTGGTCAGAGTCAGAGTCTCACTGGGCGGCAGTAGCTCAGTCCGTAGGGACTTGGGTTGGGAACCTGAGGGTCGCCGGTTCAAGTTTCTATTCCATAAGTCCTGTTTGTGCATGTGTGTGATTCGGGGCATGTCTCTCAATAACAGAGTGTACAACCAGAATTCCCCTCAGGGATTAATAAAGTATATTAAAAAAATAAATAAAAAAACGTTGTGCCAATTTAGCCCTACAGTTCTCATAAAGACTGTCTTCATTTTTACAATCTCATTAAAGGCAGATAGTTGGACTGAACTGAAAGACATTAAATGACAAAAAAATACAGTTATTGCACAAGAAGTCTGTAATAGGTCTGATTTATTACCTGGCAAACATCCGCAGATCCTCTTGATTTTGTGCAGCAGGAATGTTCAGGATCACTTGCCTCTCATGCTCTGTCAGACTTGCTAGCAGCGTTTCTGTCATCCTCTTGTTTAGTGGAGAGTCCCCACCGGGCAGTAACTCTGCACTGGAGTTGTCCATGCTAGGACTGGTGAGGGTCATGTCATCACTGCTGGCTGTACACAGGAAGCAGACAGGGCATCATAGGCTGTCTTGACCCTGTTGCACTTCTAAAAGCTTGGCACAAGAGAGAGAGCGGAGAGAGGACTTACTCGGGGAGCCGAAGCTGAGAGCGCTCGGAGTACTAAGACTGCGGCCTCCGACTCTGGTGGCAAGTGGTGGGTCTTCATCCCTAAACCCTGGCTCGTCCTCGCTGGGCGGAACCAATAAGCAGACGTACGTGTGCAGCTGGATCAGCAGGCGCCGCTGGAGCATCCACACCACCATCTGAATCAGCTGGGCCTGGTCAGGAGCACAGCAGCAAACTGCATCTCAGCTGAGCACAGGACAAACACGTCAAACTAAACATGCTTACCGGTATGTCCAACCAGGGAATACAGTAGAAACGCTTTAAATGGGTTTCTGGGTCCCAGTCAGAATCAAAATAGAGTAACAGCCATCGCCTTGATCTTGTTCTCATAAAAAATGGAGGCTGCAGGAGCTGGAGCTGATGTCCCTCTGCCATTTATAATTCATCACCATCACTCTAGCAACTCTGCCAAAACAAGATGGGTCGTAGAAGAACACCAGATGGTTCTGCTCTTACTAGACAGTATCTAAATTTGCATTAGCGGCCGGGTGTATGCTAGGGATTCAGCAGGAAAAGTCACATTTAATACTGGTATGCTTTTCCGAACTGTAGTTCTGAAGTCAGTTTAAGTTAAATATGAAGTTTCAAAAGCAAACAATTCATTGATGGGGCGCTTTTGTTAATTTCTGAGAGCATAAAAAAAAGATTCTTTCCCCAACACTGGGAGGAACACATCGTGAAAACACGATGGACTTTATCACCGCCATACATAACTATAGTTTTTGCACGTTTTATAAGGTTCTTGTGTACTTTAGTAGTTTGTTTAAGGTACTTTTCTGTGTAGTGTGTCTATGTGTTCAAGTGTGGAAGTGGAAGGTCATATTTGTGTATTTGTACTTTTAAAATAAACCTACCTCCTGTGCGGGAGCTTCCAGGGGGTTTCTGAACTCAGCCAGTGAGACAGGCAGAGAGAACTTGGCTAACACGGTGGGCAGATCATGGCCAGGAAACTGCAGGGAAAACTGCTCCGCCAACGGTGAGTATCTGTCCATAAAGAGACGCCACATATGACTCTGGGACACAGATTTTCTTTTTGTTTCTGACATTGACACAGCTTAATTATCCACAAAAAATGACAGGCTTTGGAAATCTTCATCTTAAAACTATTGAGATGTTATAAAGACTTTTGTTTACAAGGCAACAGTAAAACTGTGAAGCGCAGCATTTTCAGTCCTTAGTCAGTTACAGCCCTAGATGGCTTCCTTCACATCATGAACACTCACAGGGAGATGTTGGCATGAGGAGACAGCATGTAGACGTTGTTCTCACACAGAGGGTAGATGATGATCGCTTTTCCCCAGTAAACCAAGTGAGCGGCAATTTGAAAGATCTGGGGGTGAAAATGTTCTGTAATTAGTATAGAAAAATGTGAAAAAAAGACAAATCACACCACAAAGAGTGCTGCAATTAAAAGCCAACACTTAAAAGTGGGGGCAAAAAATGTACAGCTCAGACTTGTACCGTCTCGGATCTGCTCTGAATGACCATTTCCCCCCACTAGATGGCAGTAAGACACCATCAACAATCTTTTTTTTTTTGTTAATCAAGACTCTGGTGTCCTTAAATGCAGCGGGGATGCAGGCAGCGTGACAGCTCTGTACCTGCAGTAAGGCCAGGTCAGCATCCTGAGCGAGCTGCTGCAGGTTTTTTACTGCTGAGCACGTTTTGATGAGGCGCACCATCGCAGGCGAGCAGTCCACGGGAAGCTGGCTCAGCAGTGCCTTCTCACTTTCCAGTAGCAGCAGGGCATGATAAGGTCTTAGGGAATGAAAAAAAAAAAAAAAAAACATTGTGAAACTGTTTGCTCCAGAGAGATCAAGACTGCATCCTCCAAAGAAGAGCTTAAGATTTATTACCAGGCTTTGAAACAAAACAAAACAACCCATGTACAATTAAACTAGTTGCATTTAACCCTCAGAGGTAGAAATGAGGGCGACATTGATAACAGCTCTGATGTCAGTACTCTGGAGTATCTATAGGTGGCAGTATGGCCCACAGAAAACACCCATGGTAGCTTGAGGGTAACTTGCTTTACATAGCGAGTCAGCACTGAAACTTTTGAAATATTCAGGCCCTAATCAGCTGTTAAAGACATACCTCATTTAAGATAAAAAGCTGTTAGGGGAAATTTCAGTTAGTTTCAAGAATCTGAGACTTCTTGTCAGGCTTGTTGACCTGCTGTGAGTCAGACTAATGTGACCGTGTGTAGGATGTGGCCAATTGAGTGTTAGTGCAATTTAGGATACTCTAAATCTGCATTCAGCATAAAAACAAGACAATTAGGATGTAACATCAGAAAATCTGTTGAAATATTGCATTAGAAAAAAAACTTTCTCTGTAATAACGCTCTGTACTTGTGTTCATGCTTTTAGAAACGTGCCAAGTATCCCTTATAAGTTGCAAGAGGCCTTTTTCATTATCACAGTCAACAGGTGCTGATAGGGGTGTTGCCAGAAGAGGAAAACATTTTCACTGTACAGAAGTAGCTCTTAGATGGCTAATCAATTTTAAAAAAAATTCAGTACAAGACCAAAAAAAAAAAAAAGAAGCAAGGACCCACCTTATAGCCTTAAGGCTGTGCTCTAAGGCCTCTGGGGGGATATAAGTGCCACCTATCACGTGGATCTTGTGCGGTAAACAGAAGCTCACCTCCAGCCAGTTGTTTATGTGCAGTCGCACCACGCCAGTTGTACAAAGGCTGCAGAAAAACAAAATCATTAGAGTCACACGTTCTGAACAATCTAAATTTTGAATGGTAACAAAAAGAGGAAAAGATCACACACCTGTCATAAGCTTCTTTCAGGTCTCTGGCCAGCTTACATTTGGGAAGGATTTGTCTAAATGGGGATTGGGGGCTTCCATCTGTGTAGATCAGAAAACAGAAAATACATTCATATGTATCATTCAATCTCATAAATTCAACAACGATGTGGGAATTACAAACCAAACCGTTTTGTGATTTGTCCCTTTTTTTATAGAATGACAAAGCTGTACTTTGTGGTCATCGACAGCGATGTGTTACAAGTGTGTATCTCACTCTCAGTCATGGTGGTGATTTCATCCTGGACTGCCAGCATCAGTTTGGCTTCTCTGGTCAGGTACTGGCAGCGCCGCTCCTCGTGCTGCAGAGCTATCGCGATGCGGTGGGACAAATTGTGCATGCAGTTGATGACCGATGGATCAGCATTTGCCTGTAAAGAAACACACATTAAATGAAGTGCTTATTTCTTTATTTATCTTTAGCCACTGGCATAGTAGCATTTTTTCCTCGGGTCCACTCATACAAACATGACATTAAAATCAACACAGATGACATCACTAAAAGTCTGATGTAATATGGAAAAACCCAAAAATAATGAGAACAACAAATATGCCACTGCATTTACAACACTGCTTTCACTTTTAGCTCAGTAAGCTTTCAGATCAAACTTTACCGTCCTGTGAACTGTTACCTGTCAAATATATAAAGCATGTTCTTTTAGTATTTAAGATTATTGTTGGAGTACTCAAAATCATTCTTGGGCTCAAGTCCGGTCTTGAGACCACTTTTTGAAGGTCTCGGTCTCGCCTCGGAATAGAAATCATTTTTACTCAACCTCAGACTGGGCGGACTCAGGATTTTAAATCAAGACCGCTCAAGACCACCACTGCAAGGCTATTTTTCCCCACGTCATTACAGTGATTAGAAGATGTCTCGGTCTCGCCCTGCCTTGGTCTTGGTCTTGACTCGGTCTCAATCTTAATTGTCTTGGTCTTGTCTCGGCCTCGGAGCCCTCTGGTCTCGGGTATGTCTTGGTCAAAATGCTGCTGCTAGGCTCCTTACAGGAAGACGCAAGCGAGAGCATATCACCTGAGGTCTGCTGATCAGTCACTTCTGGTTGCACCTGACGCTAGGCTGAAGCATAGGGGAGACTGGGCGTTCTCAGTTGTAGCCCCTAAACTGTGGAACCACTTGCCCCCGCAGGTTAGGCTGGCACTCATGTTGCCCGTGTTTAAATCTCATCTAAAAGCTGTTCTGTATGCTAAATAAGAGTTTGTTTGTTTCTATGGTATTATTCTTTTTTGTTTGTTTTGTTTTGTCTATTGTTATTTTTCTTTGTAAGTACATTTGTTTTACACAAGATGTCTTTCTTTTTTTGTTTTTCAAATTTTAAGTGAGGCGAATCGACTGAGTGAACAAACAAATACTGACAGATAATCCAACTTTACTGTCAATTGTGTCAAATGTTTTTTTCTCCTCAGGAAGGTAAATAAAGCTGGACAAGCTACATGAAAAGATTTGAGTATGAATGAGCGAATGAAACGTTTGAATGTTAAGTGCACAAAGAGAACGCGATAAATCTCAAAATGATGACTGAACTCTTACTTTTTAAAAATACACATGACTCCCAGATAACCAACACACCACTGTTATTTTGATGGAGATTCAGCTGCTAGGCCGATAACCCAAACAAGACCGAGCTCTGTTTCATCCCATCTCAGCTGTGCTGGGACTTACTGGGTACAGTGACTCAGCATGGGCAGGGCCATGCTCGCCTAGCTGGGCAGCATGATTAAGCAGTTTAGAATCGCTCCTCCCTCAGAGTTCCCGTGCTATCACAGATAGAGAGTATACTAAAATATTATCACTCACAAACATCCCCTCCGTTAGTAGAAAACAAAAAACGCACGTGCCCCGCCCCACAGGCAGCCGACTCAATTGTGCCATTATTTCAAATAAAGGAGTCAGATTCATCGTATTCAAATGGTACAAGAACAAACAACCCAACAATAAAAAGCTTTCCATACCCTCAGAGCAAACACCACATTGAACAAGATCATGGTTGGCATTTCTCTCTTGGGTGAAGGATCTGTCTTTGAAACCTGCACAGACACAAAAACAAAAATTTCACTTTAGAATAGAAAATGAAAATGAAAAACACACAAATTGTAATTACACAGAATGAGCGCAGATTATGATTAGTCAACACTCAACATAACAATGTTATGACTTTCTGTTTCATTCCAGAAGTCAATTCAAGCTGGACCTCCGTGTTTTACGTCAAGGAGCAATAGTTTATCTTGTCTTTACTGGATAGGACAGCTGAAGAGAGACAGGAAATGTTGGGAGGAGAGAGAGAGGGGGCTGACATGCAGCAAAGGGCAGAGGTCGGATTCAAACCCACAGCTTCTGCGATTAGGACTATAACCTCTTTACACGGAGCGCACGACATAACCACTCGGCTAGTGGCCATTCAAATATCTAAATATGGAGCAGAGAGAACTCCCATGATTCCCCGCTAGCCTCAACGTCATCTCTTGTTATTGTTTTGATTGAGAGTCCCCTGCTAGTCGATTTTACATACTGTGCGTTTAAACCTAAAAACAATCTGTTTCTGTTCAGTCACTGATATGTTCATCCGTATTACAGATTCTACATAGAATTGCAGAATCTGGACGCAGGTGTCTGAATTGTCAGCATGGGAAGTGCTTTGGTTTCTGTTTGTAGTACATTTGTAGTCCGAGCTAATATTGACCAATTTCCTATCAGCAGGCTTCGGTGAAAACAGGAGAAACAGTCGATGTCAGTAGGGGGCGCTACTGAAGAAAACACTTGCTGTATCAGATCATGTTGAAATGCAACACTTTTATTATTACTATAGCGACCACTACTTTTACTACTACTACTAATAAAAACAATAATAATAATATAACTCAGGCAAACTTGATATACTGCAAATGTATGTAGCTGCTAATAAAAACCATAATGGGATTAATCTAACGAAAATCTTTGTTCTTATTGAAAATAATCTTCGTTAAAGTTCTGAGAGCTGTTACTTGTGTTGGTGGATCGTACCTGAGTGATGGAAGGATGCTGAAGAAGAGTCGGGTGACCCACAAATCGAACATTGTCTATCTTCAGTTCAAACTTCTTCCCGCAAATATCGGATTTGGTGGCCAGGATGGTGGCCAGTATGATGTCAGAGAACCTTTAGGGAAGGAAGAGCGGACTCAGTAAAAAAGAAGAAGAAAAGAAGAAGACAGAAGTGTGCAGGAGGGGGGAGGGGGGGGAGATGAGAGGGCCCAGCACAGAAAACAGCTGGGACAATTAGGAAAGTTCAAATTAGCTCTGTGCGTTTTGATTCGTCACATTCCTGTCTATGAGAGGGGTTGCGTTAATTAGATGCATCTGCCTGGAATATAATTCAACACTGAGAGTATCAAATACAAGCGCTTGTGTGGCTACTGGAGAGGAGGAAAGAGGAAGAGGCCTCCTTACAGAAGCAGTGAAGTCGCTGTATGAATGAAGAGTGTGAAAGACTCATGCTGGTTTGTCTTAAGTAAACTCATGCTGCAATCAAAAGGGATCCAAATCAAGACGTTAAATTCCAGAAGAGAATTAAACACACTTTAGACTTACCCACCAACACAACGTGAACAGAAGGTGTTGTCCATTGACTTTATCGTCACTTCAATTGGTTTCCAATACTACGACTAAAGTGCTAATGGTAATAAAATCAGAGATTTGATTTCAGTTGTAAACTAAAGGATTTCTTTTAAAAAGGCAAACAAGTGCAGAAGGAAAGCAAAACTGACATCAAGAATTAACCAAGGCACCGATTCACTAGATCTAAGAACTGCTCATTTACAAGGATTGGACTGAGATCAGGGTTGGGGATCCGTAGGGGACACAAAAATAAAAGGAGAGAAGGGAGTAAAAAAAAGACAGGGGTGATCTAAGCGAAGGAAAGGTGGTTGAAGATGATTTGGTCTTACCCTGCTACCAACTGTTCGTCAGTTAGTGGAGACTGTTCTCTGAAATGGGAATGGGGCCATCAAAAAGAAGAAAAAAAAAAGCAAACAAAAGGGAAAATGCAACACACAGTTGGGCTGAATGCATAAAATGGACATTAAAAACAAAGCACCCAAAACAAACATGTGATACTGTGATATGAAAGAGCTGGTCTGCATGTTCATTCAAGCACATCACAGGATCCTCCTTCATTTTATCATGCAGCACAACGACCACCTTAGAAGAGTTGACGTGGACACATTACCCATAGTGCATCTAAAAAGATGGCGTTAGACACTCAGGAACTGCTGCAGTTTGTACATTAAGATAAAAAAAGTAACTCGTATACCACTTACTGTATTGTGTACTCAAAAAAAGAAGGAAAAGCACTTTTACAGTAGAAAAATGTGTCTGCCGTTAAAGTGAGATTTCGTGATGATACCTTACGCTTTCTGTTAAGCTGGGCAACTAATCAAATTCAAGTACGATTTTTAATTCCCACGACAAGGTGACGGAGATTAAACCATTAACGCACTGCATGCTGGGATGTGCTTGCTTTGTCCAAAGGTTTTGTCATGTGTGGTTAATGTTTAAATTGGTGGTGTTATATATATATATAAAAAATACTATACATATATATAGATATATATCTATATATATAACAACCACCAATTTTGGCACTTTTTCTTTGGGCGCTACTCACACGTTTAGCTGTGTTGCTCATTCCACGAATTGACGATCCTTACAAGTTATACCTCGTTAAAAAGGTGACTAATCAGGCTTTCCAACGATATATAATACAACACCAATTAGTATTATCAAAGGAGTGAAATAATTGACCGAAATAATGTTTCCAAACTTTTTTTGAGGAGTTTATATATATTATCTTTTTTTTTTATAAATTCACATTTTTGTTCACTTGTTTGTTTTCATTTGTTGCTTGGAGTGTTTCAGTTTGATAACAGCATGTGATGCAGATGTTAGAAAATTTTGATGAGTCATCATGATCTCAACATCAGCCAGAATAACGGTGATCAGGATTTTCACCATAATGGAGCAGCCCTACTTACTGTACTGACTGTGATAGCTGGTTGTTTCCTGTAAAATATTGATGCGCTACGTTTGAAATGTCAGTACATTACAGTTGCGAAAACTACCGTCTACTGTATATCTGTACTTATTTGAATAGTCTACTGAAATAACGGAGTCCCATTGTGAGCTTAACATTTCAATTGGAAAAGAAAATTAAGTAATTTCGTGAAATAAAAAAGCTCTGTCAGTGTTGCAACAAGGCTGCCAGTAGCTGTCGTTGTATTTTTTTAATACGAGTATTTTACAAGAGGTTTGAAGTGGAGTGAGGGGAGAGTTATTAAAAGAATAACTTCACTTTGGTTACAAACTAAAATAATCACTTGTTGCTGATTTCTATTTTATAGTCGTGACCAAAGGTATTTCAATCCACAAATCACTGACCACTATTACCATCAATTAAGCTGCAGCATGATGAAAACTACATGCTATGATATTTGAATGTACAAACAGGAGACGCTCATCAAGTGGTTTGGCCAATTTTGCTGGTATTCATTAAACACACTCAGTTCTGATTACTCATGAATGGCTAAGAGGGAAAAACTCTGAGTGAACCGTCTGAGCTGAAAAGGTTTCTTGCTTTTACATTTTTACATGACGCATGTTTACTAGCTTTAGCATTTGTAGTCCTCCCATCGTTGCAAAGTCAGTTAGTTTGTATCTTAAACAACAGATGTTCCTTAATGTAATCCTCTTAAATGGTAAACATTTAACGTTCACATGGTGTAATGATAATGTGCTGCGTCAGCATACACCACTGTCACTCTTTCAGCAATTCATCCCTCCTTTTTAGTCACTTAGGCTGTTGTTAAATCATGAACTGCTTGTAATATTACCACTTTCTATTAGTGACAGCTACTTGTTCCAACACTCAGAAAAAAAGAAAATCTGATATGGTTAACATCGCATCAAATCAAATCACAAGCAACAAAACAACAACCCACTGTGCCCACTTTTCTATCTATACCTCACAAGAAGAGAGACATTTGACATAAGAGTTTTTTTGTGTTTTTTTAAGGTTTGGTATAATATTAAAATGTTTTTCATCTTTATACCCAGATACACAAAATGAAGGACAAAAAAATACCTTGAATCACCATCCTGATCTTCAAGACCCTCCCCGTTGGTGTTCAGTGCATAAGGACTCCGTTGTTTTGCTTGTGGACAGAAATGATCATTCACATTATTGACGTCATTATAAAAGGAATGCCAAAAGCAACAAGACACAATTAATACAAACATGTTCTCGATACCAATCCAATAAATGTAACAAGTATAAATGTACTGCAGGGGTGTTTCGTGATCTGCATGTGTCCTCCTGTTGATTTATAAAGCCATATGGTGTGTTGTCATTAAGGGTCTGCATATCTGTGAGTGTCTTTCAACATTGTTGCTCTTCCCGGCTCATTTGTTGCTGCAATCCAGTTTTCTAGTGTTATGAACGTAGCCTAAACAGAGTGGAATGAGGCTCACATCTAAGCGGCTCTATGTTTAAATACACTTGTATATCAGCTGCATTGAACCCTAACAAACTGCGCTCTTGTATTTTCCTGGAGTGACTTCCTCAATAAGTTGGTTGTAACTTAATCCCTTTTAGTTATCAACACACACTGTGAGAAAATTACAACTTCAGATATCCTTCAAGGAAGAGGAAAACTGTTTTGTTTTGTTTTTAAAAAAAAAAAGAGGAACAGGGGACAGCAGTGAACCTCCTCAAAAGGAAGCCTCGGTGTTTTGTGAAATGTTTCAAGGTGGTTAACAGGTTTCAGAAACTGTGTGATAATGCAAGCATGTATATTATATTCTATGTGTGCTGACTGCTGATATAAACTGTATATCCAGCCTGCGCAGCTGAGAAGAATCAGACAGTTTCTCTGTTATTGTCAAAAATCAGTGCCTACCTGTAAGAGCTGACGGACATTCAGACACTCTTTGAAAAGGGTATCTGAAAAGGAGTTTATTCCCCCTGCTGCCAGAGCTGACCAGTATGACGCTAATCGGGCTGGTTTTATCACCAGTCTTGTACACACTTTGCTGTGTTTGGCTGTACATTGATTTTCGGTCATCTGGCAACCCGGCTGTTGGGTTCAACATCATGTTAGCATTCTCGATAGCTTCACGTTAGCCAAGTCGCAAAATCGGTGACGTAGCGTCAGACCAACCAATGAACGTCAGCTTGTAACACCAGGTTTCAACATGTGCCATACAAAAACCCCTCGTTTTGATCTCATGAAAGTCGTATTCGTGATAATTCTGAGGCCTGTCCGTACACTTCTCTGTACAACAACAATCGCACTGGCAGGGCTTGCGTGTGTCACTTCGAATAATAGTCGACAGGAACAAAGAAAGCCGGGATATGGTTCCGCCTGGATCGACACCTTTGAATTGACTTCAAATAATATGGGTTACAATGTAAACAACCTATGAAAGCAACCCATGCTACAACTAGGAAATCATATCGCCTAAAGGAGTGTCGAAAACAAAATTATGTAGACGGTACAATTAATAAAAAATTACCAATGTGTAGGCTGCTGCAAACAGCCTGAACACAAAACATGCAGTTAGGTTTGCTATGTAATTTTTTTTTTTAATGTGAGTTAAATTTGAATTTTTGGGGCAAAATAACCTTTTCACGCACACTGGTCACTTCAGTGCTGTCTTCTGCTAAATGCGTGGGTTTGATGCCTGATTTCACATCAGCCACTCCGGTGGACTTTAACAAGTCAGCCCAGTTTTGTCATCCATTGGCCAGCAGTTGTAAGTGTACCAAAAAATCAAGAAGGCTGACGAAAGACACAAATGCCACGGTTCAAGAATTTCTTGCAAATCCTGTTATTATAAAGGAGCCTTTCAGTTTATTTTTTTTAAACATGAAGCAGTATTGATAGTATTTTAGTTTAGGTAAAATACATGGTTGATCAGCTGTCCACTAAGTTGGACATCATGCATTGCTGGCTACATTTCAATGACAATTAATATTAGGTTAATACTGAGACTTTGCTGATACTGAAAATAACTGTGATTATAACAGGTTTTTTTTCTCATTAAATGTCTGCTGTGTGCTGTTCTGTCAGCCTCCAGGTAAAAATATGCAGGTAGTTTGAGCTCATCAAGCATGTTTTTATATTTATAGTTAATTATTTAACTTTTGCTTTTACGTGTTTTTATGATGTTTTGGATAAATGTGCTATATAAATAAAGTTGACTTGACTTGACTATATTGTATTAAACAGGAAAACTCCAAAACTCAAAGATGATCATCCATCGAATTTAAATGGGGTTTTTTTCCAACCCCATTGAACATGTGACAACTGGTGACAACTGAAAATGTGTCTTTGAAAGGGAAACAAATCTGTTATTTTAATTATGCACTAAAAAAACAAATGAATAAAAGTATTGTTTTGAATTGTAGCGTCGCATGATGTCCGCTCCAGTGGGCGCCTTTGTAACTTCTCCAGGATTATGAATATTAAATAAAATAAAAAACGAATGTCCCTTTGCATGTCCTCAGAAGTAGCCAAATGTTTTTTTTTTTGTTTGTTTTTTTTAAACCTGGCTACCTGATTTTATCATTCATGCATGCAAGGGTTTAATTGCAAAATAAATAGCCTACCGTCGCTCAGAAACCATCAATGTATTGGAGTTTTGTTCTGTAAGTGTTTTTACAAGTGAAGTGTTGTCTTTTACCTATAAAATGACCTTAAAGGTAATGTTTATAAACATGTAAAATATGCATGAAAAAGAACAAGGGGGATTATAAGAGTTATAGCGTTTTTCCGTGGAGGCATAGCTAGTGTGCTTTAAAAAAAATAGTTTTTTGGGTTGGTTCAGTAGCCTATGGGCCTATAACAAGAGGCAAATTAACAATAGATTAATTACAAAAGAATAAGGCCTACATGGTGAGGCTTTTCGACAAAGTTTCATTTAACTTTTCAGTCATAAGGCTGTTTAAGTGAGAGGCTTTAGTCAAGTAAATAAACTGAATGGACCAAATAAGGCTGACACTCGATGTGTACTGGTAGCTGTTTCTCAATGTTTCACCCTGATGATACTGCATTCCGTTTATTGTTACTGAGGACCGCACCCATAGTCTACACATAAAACCTAATTCCAAGCAACCCGGGATATCCGGAAGAAATATTTCCCTTCGCAAATAATGTAGCCTAATTCTCAAACTCTCAGGTGAAACATCCTTAAAGACCTTCCTCTTATAGATCCAATTACGCCAGTGAAATCAAACTGATTGTTTATAATTGTAAATGTCATTTCAAGGAAGATCATTTTTCTTTATTATGAATTAGCCTACACTTAATTTAATTTACTAATTTCAGCCTATTCATATTTTTGTTGTAAGTTTTTATTCAATATCAACAGCTTCATGACAGTGGCATCAGTGTTAGTCTATTGCTGAGGCTATAAACCCATTTTCGGTTAAAACAAATGATCTATAGGCCAAATACAGTGGTTGATACAAAATTACTGCGATTCTAAAAGAAGCGTAAAAAAAGCGTAGGGAGCTGTCCGAGGTCCTGCAGAGACGAGCACGTTGCAGGTGTTCGCAGCTGCCTACGGAGTCTAATCACGATGTCGATGTCTTGATATTGGGATGAAACATGGGCCTATACATTTTTGCCATTGTGTCAGGAGGATGTAATCATTATTTACAATATAAAGTGGGATTATCCATACATGGTCAATCAGAATCACTTTAAAAAAACGAATTTAAACACCTCATGGCTAGTCTTTATACTGATGGGAATGATCGTCTGATAGGCTTCTTGCTATATTGCAATTAGGGATGAATCAGAAGAGCAGCCATTCGGAAGTAATTCGAATTTTTAGAGTGTGGGATATGTATTTGAAATGTAGGCTAAATTGTATCTTGTTTTTTCGCTTCAGTCCTTCCGACTGAGTTTTTCCTTTGGCTGGTAGCCTACTCAAGCAATTCTTGATTAACGATCAAACACAGCAGGTTGTGTTTACACAACCAAAACGAACTATTTCCCCACCTCTGGGCACAATCTTGGCAGTGCAGATATGTTCTTTTCTTGTAATCTTTGTAAATCTGCAGAGCAATTCTTGGTCAACCCACTTCCCCTTTCCGTCCAATTGAATATCTTGGGGAGGAGGAGGAGGAGAGGTGATTTAAAAGTGGCATCGGGTACTGACGGACGTAGACTTGTGTTGCAAAGCAGGCCATCATGGTTGAATGGACAGATTTTGAGCGCGCCACCATCCAGGACATCTTCTCCAAATTGGACTACGAGTTCGTTGGACCTGCAGCTCTTTGCAGGTTTACCATCTTATGTGTTTCCTTAACATTAATGGAAGTACGTTGTGCATGCATAGATACATATATATTTTTTTACATATACATCCTTTGACATGTTTTCTCAGGTGTCTGGTGGTCTACCCCTGGACTCAGAGATATTTCGGCGGATTTGGAAACCTCTACAATGCCGCCGCTATCGCTGGGAATCCAATGGTTGCAGCTCATGGAAAAGTTGTCCTGCACGGTTTGGACCGGGCTGTGAAGAACATGGACAACATCAAGGACACCTATGCAGAACTGAGCGTGCTGCACTCCGAGAAACTGCGCGTGGACCCAGACAATTTCAACGTAAGGCTACTTGGCAAAAATGAAGCTGGGAATGATATCTATCACTGATCTCATGTTTCTTGTCTTGCAGCTCCTGGCTGACTGTCTGACTATTGTGGTAGCCGGTCAGATGGGTAATGACTTCACTGGTGAAGTGCAGGCAGCTCTCCAGAAGTTCCTGGCCGTTGTGGTGTCCTCCCTGGGCAGGCAGTACCACTAGAGCGCTTCAGCACAAGTCCATCCATGTGGCTCATTTAATTCACTAAAGCATTAAAGCTGTAGTTTTTTTTATTGTGTCTCAAAAGATAAATAAAGTCAACTATATGCTTATTTAAACAGTTTGATTTGCCTGTCTGTTTTTGATCAAAAAGTCAAAAAGACAAATGTGAAAACCCTTTACAGAGTTGTGGTGGCATCCTCTCAAATCCAAATATGAGGCTCTGTTGAGTCCATTATCGTTCCATATCAGACACACCTTCCAACGTAACATAATGTAAACCCACGAATCCAATGCAATAATTACAGCTACAATCTGCTTACATTGATGCATGAAAGTCTAATTTGGATGGTAGTCACTTGGGACGTCTGATGGGCCAGTCAGGGCAGGACCTTTCACCCGGACTGGGGGATGTATCTACTGTATGAATGTATGTACTGGGCTACAATCCCATGTGAATCTTAAATTCAGACATTATCGGAACCTGTGTCAATGTATTTCTATAAAAAAAAAAAAAAAGATAGGTTGCCAGGCCCCCCTTGAAATGTGATTGGCCACCCCTGGTGCAACCCCAAAATCCTGAACTGTGATTGGCTATTTGATTTGTCAAATCAAGATTTCAGGCTTTGGTGTAACAGGCTGGTAGTCGTTCTGTTTATAGCCCATGTAGTTTGTCTTTACTGTAACGTGAGGGTCCGATGTGTGGTGGATGTTAAGAGATTAACATTAGTTAAGAGAAACAGAAGGATGGAGACGGATAACTTTCTCAGCAGCACTTTACTGTCATCCAAATGGCTCTGCTACACAACAACCAACACTTCCTTGTTACTCATCACATTAGCCAATCAGAGGTTAGGATGATTAAACTCAAGGCAAACATTATGACAAACACAGAAGTAGATTTGATATAATTTGGTCACAGTTACTAGGTGCTACTGCAAACATTAAAACATGTAAGTATATCAATATTAACTTCGTAAACTCAAATATGTAAATAGTTCACTGTAAAAATGTTAACTTGTTTTTAACTTAAACTTAAATACATGGATTAACTCAAATATATGCATTTACTTCACTTTTAAATCTTACAGTACTTTAAATTGTCAATAAATTATCTATTATGAATCATTTTGCACATCTTTTTTGTATTAGATATGGTAAAGGCATCAGTCCATAAAAAATGCTTCCAAACCTCTGCATTCTGTCGAACTTGCAATTAAGGGTCCAGTAAAGTTAATAAGATTGATCTTCATACTGCAAGTGTTGCTGGAGCTTTTTTTTGACCTCTTACGGTGTACAACACACAATTGAACAATCTAAAATCCGTCTATACCGTATTCATAGCATCATAGAGAAAGTGTTCATCCGGGTTGTGTCCAAGAAGTCTTAATATTCTTCCTGCATTATTTCCCGCAAATTCATTCAAACCTGCATGTGGCCTAATCGATATTAATGCTGTTTTAAGTTGTGCGAAATTGTTGCATCAATTAAACCCCCTTCTAGAAAATAGACCAAACAAATAGTTCAACTGCGTTTGATACTTTATTTAAATATTCAGACTGACAAGGATTATCCAAGCTGCCCGTCCGCCTTCAGCTGCATGCTGCATGTTGCTGTTTATCGGTACTTCTCAGACAGGGCACGAGCCAGGGAGGCCAGGAACTTGTCCATGCTCACATGGACCTCGGGAGTGAAGTCGGCGGGGAACATGATGGCCAAGACCACAAGGATGTTGTGAGCGATAATCTAAAAACAGAGAGGAAATACATGGTAAGAAATAAATCGGAAAAAATAAAATAAAATCTTAATGTAATAAATGTAGTAAGTTTGAAAACCAGCACGAATCATCTATGCCACACCTTGAAGTTGGCAGGGTCCACACGCAGAGTGAAGGCGTGAAGCTCGCTGAGGTTCAGAAGACCAGCTGTCATATCGTCAATTTTGCTCACAGCCAGTGCAACTCCACCCATCACAGTAGCTCCGTGCTTCTTCACCTGGGCAGAGCCGGGGCTCAAGTCCTTCCAGTGGGAGAAGTAGATCTTGGTCTGGGGGTACACCACCAGCATCCTGTATACCAAAATTGAGAGAGTAGATGAGTAAAAAGGAAGACTGGAAAACAAGTCACTTCAGTCTGTTTGGGTTGATATTTACCTGGACAGAGCATCAGCGCCGATGTCCCCGGCCTTGCCTGACACTTTAGACCAGAAGGCCTGGACTGTTGCCTTGTCCTTGGCGGAGAGACTAGTCATCTTGCTGGTTGTTTGGTTGAGGTTGGAGGTGAATGCCGTGAAGAGCTCTGACTCTGGGTGCTTTTATATCAAACAGGGCATGGGCACACCCGGCCCACCTCAAAGATAGCGTGGCATTTGGAACAGTTCCATATCTGGCAGCTTGAATGAGATAACACCAAAAAGACTTCTCAATATGACTCTGAAAAACTACGAAACCAAAAGTTAATCTTCAGTAATTCCAAACACTCTTTGGGCTTCTTAAATAACTCACAAATGTCAACGAATTCCGATAATAAACTAAAAGAAAAATAGTGAGCCTAATTACAAATTAAGCGGCAGCCATGATGACACAGAAACAAGTCAAGGCGGGATCATATGAGAAGTTAGAAAACGATGATCAAAAGCCAAAATTGACTAATTTGTCAGGGATTAATACCTTCATTTAAATTAATTCCAGTTGTCCATAATATGTGTGTATTTGTATTATTATGGCAGACTTTAAAAAATAAAATATTGCATTGTTATAGCACACAAACAGACAACATTTAAAGCCATTCGCCTAAGAAATAAAATATTTTTTTTAATGATGAGAATGTCGTTTAAAATATGGATGTGCGAAACGTGACGTTACAGTGCATATAACCTTCTCATGACTCACTTCAGACCTTTTAATTTAGGCTCTACATTTATTATATAGGCTTTTGGGTTATATGTTTATAGCAACATACATGGGGTCATATGCGGTGAACTTTCCTGCCAGTAAAGGCTTATCTACAGGGCAATGCAGGCTTTAAGGGGAGGATCCGCTCAGAGGGGGCACAGATAAAGTTTTAAAAGCATGAAGTTGTTGCTTCACTGTCGTTCATTCCCCGTTAACTTTAATCGTTTGGAATACCGTGGATGTCTCATCCGCATACTGCAATTTTAACCCTCTAGTACTACATTTTGATTGATTTGTGCTTACATTGGTCACCATTAATGTTCCGAGCGATCCTCCAAGACGATCAGGGGAGAATTTGTTATGCAACAAGCTACTAATGGGAAATATCTGTTCAAACTGGCTTTAGAACAAGAAGGACGGAAACTTACTGAACTGCAATTACAGGTCTATTGGACTCACTGCTCACCTTTTCCAGGTAAAACATAAAACCAATCAACCAAAAGACGCGCATCATGTTTTTTTTTTTTATTTCAAGAGAGATGTTATTTTCAGTGTCAACTCAATACAGCCTAACTAAAAAAAAAACCCGAGATGTTTACATCCCTTTTTGAATACAAGAGGCTCAACACTCATTCTTGCTTCCAAATTACATATTTCCTTTTATGGATTTCCTTATTGGAGACTTTGTCGTGTACAAGCACTTACATGCCATACAAGTATGACAAATCAATGTCGCAAAAAAAGTCAATAACAAACCTCAATGCATTTGCGTTGATTAAGTAAATCTCGTTTTCTACATGACGTCAATACTCCTGGCTGCAATTCAGGCAATCTAACCAAATGCAGTGATTTGTCTACAGGCACACTCAATTCGTTAGAATTAAAAATACTGGTAGCCTATCATACGCTAAATTCATTCGCTTATGGCTCAATCCAATAGGCTATGTAATATTTCCTGATGCTCTTTAATGTTAACATTAAAAATGACTTTAAATGCCCATGAAAAAAACCCACAATTGCCTCCTACAGTAGCCTTTTCCATAGCATTCTGAAAGTGACTATGATTTAAATAATGTGATATATATTGTACCCTGTAGAAACTTAAAATAGGTATTCTGATAAGATGAGAAAAAGTGCAAGTGTAAGTCATAAGGTGACTCAATTGTCCTCGAAATCGCCATCTTTTCTGCACGGTCATTTTTAAATATAGAGACCTAGCAATCAGATTCCTGCGCTATTATTCAGCACAATGATTCAGATACAAAAATCAGCTCACATGGCAACGAATTAGTATGAACATTAGCCATAATGTTGCTGGGAAAGGTCACAGTGGATTTTTTGGGCTAAGAATCCTGCAGCTGTCCGAGGTCCTTACGTCCTATCAGTGACCGTAGGGGGGCAGCAGATATCAAGTAGGCTACAAATATTTTTACAATTTAAATAATACAATTAAAGTGGCTTAAGGGAAATTAACTATGCCGAAATGTTAACTCCTAAATGTTATTTTAGGCTTCAGAAAACTGTAACCAACTGTTTTTGTAAATAACTTCATTTTGTCTGATTATATCATTGTAGGCCTATATGCTATGCTCCTGTTTCTATTATCTAGATAGGCCTATATTCTGTTTTCTTAAACAGACGTGTATTGACAACTGATGCATAAACATACAAACAATGACAGACAAAAAAAACAATAATAAAATAAACAGTTCAGATAGGTCTTTAGATTCTACAGAGCATTACAACAACAAAAGGGAACTGTTCACAAACTAAAATGTAGGCTATTCCTTTAGTGGAACTAGAAGTCTTTGCTTGTCTTAAAGTTCTGTGACGTCAGTGTACCATTTGAGGTGAGGAGCAGGCTGGCAAGATACATGCAAGAGGAAGAAATGGTATGATCAGCTAATCCTGTGAAGGGTGGAAAACCTTAAAATGTTTGAGCCACCATTTTCTTTTTTTTAATGTAATGAGTTCTGTTTCACCACATAGACGATAGTAACAATGGCAACAAAGGTCTATTTGTTTATCACGTCCAGAGAAAGGGCTGCAGGTAAGATGGGATACACCCTCTACTTGGGTTGAAAGCATTCTGTCTCAAAGCGATACATCTCTCTGGAGTCATGAATTTAGTATGTTCTCAGCCTTTTCTGATGGGGTTGAAATTGTAAGAGCATCTCTATGTCTTTGTTTTTGTCGATAACAAGGGGAAGCTACTATCTAAAACTGACCTGGAATAATATACGACTTCCGAGTAGTTCAAGCAACATTAATATTTTTCCCATCTGAACAATCAGAAACTAACCAATCATCTATAGATGTACAGATTTGATCAGACCAGACCATAGAGTTTAATATTTCATGGTTCTTTTTTAAAATCCATGTATCTACTCATAAATCTTTCAGAAAACAAAATGGACTGGAGGAGGAGGAATGTTTTGTTCTAGGTGACCATCCGTCTAAAGTGATGATGAAGTCACCACCCACTAAAAATAATACGTCCATGTGAAATCCACCCTTAGCAACATAATTTGGACGATACTGCTAGTAGCCTACTAAACATACTTTTACTATTGTTACTGACATTGAAAGGGTATCTTACAGCGGTAAAATTGTCTCTGACTCTGAGATAGAAATGGAAACACGTTTAGTGGATCAGCACTCTTGGCTTTAGTGACTACCTTTCCTAAAGTCAACCAACTATGCAGACCTATTATGTTTTTTTTGTTGTTGTTGTTTTAAAATAAACGATGCAGTTAAATGCGAATCTACGGAAGCGTATTGCATTCATGTGGAGAATTATTTTTTTGTGCCTGGTTTCTTGTTATTACGAGATAAAGATCTTGTTATAACGAGAAAAGAGCTCTTAATTAGGGTGTTGGTTGTGGTCTTTATTGTTGTCCTTCTCTGCCCCACAGGTTATGTTATGTAGCAGTAACTTCTAGCATTTTGTGTGCAAAAGAGGAAGGAATGATGCTAATGCCACTAATCCCTAAAACATCAGTGCTAACGTTACTATATCTAACTTTATTAAGCTAGCGTTAATGTTCCAATTATTCCCTGCATGTCCCACACATAAAGATCCAGAAATCACCAGCTGTCTGATGAAGATGGCGATCCCTGGAATGGGACAAGGTAACTAACACAGCAGTTAGGCAGATATTGAACAATTAAGTTACATATGTAATGTTATAGCTAAGTTCAAGTGGGTCTGGCTAACTTAAAGGCTTACTATGAAAAATGAAGATGACGCCAACAGACTATCCTTGCTTGACAAACTCAGAACGTTGTACTATCAAACAATCAAGGAAGCACCTAAGACATAATAAATTGGCTGCCAAGATGACAAGAAAAGTAGAATTAGGATGGATACATGACGGAAAGCAAGTGAGAAAACGCTGTGGTGGAGGATGCAGAATCTTTGATATTAGAGAGTGCCACAAAAAAATACATATATATTTTAATATATCGCATGCAAAACAGCTGTTTTTCCCAAGTGGGAAATCAAGAAAGGGAAAATGGGAAGAATTCAGTCACAACATTGTTGACTTTCAGGAAGCAGAACTTGAGGATACTGTTAATGTGGGAGAGCTGTATGAGGCACTGAAATTGGGGCTCTTAAGATTTTACTTACTGACGGAGCTTCTGGAAGAAAATGGAAGAGACAAAACAGACAGATACAGTGGAAACAGCTAATCAACAGACAGAGACGACAAAAACAGATAAGCAAAGTAATACAGAGACCATTGTTTTCTCTTCTGCTGTTGACATTATTGCTCTCTCCTCTCTCAGTGACATATCTGAAGTCATCATAGGTCCATTGCTAGGTGGACGCTTTGCAATTCATCTTGATGATACTCTTTTACACCTGCCTCTCCTTCAGACAGACAAAGAGGAACTAAGCTCCATCCCCTCCACTTCCACTCCTATTCCACCTGTTTCAGATTATGTTGTACATGCTGCCCCACCAAGTCCTGGCTATGAACTTGTACATGTGACTGTTAACCTTCACAGAGCGAATCTCTTACAGGAAATGGTTGGCCAATTCAAAGACCCCGCGATAATGGACTACACCTTGAAATACAGCTTCACCGGTGATGACATGTATAGCCGCATGTCATCACTCAACCGCTGGCTGTCGAGGTGGTGTCCAGCAAACGATGTGGGCTTCATAGATAACTGGCAGTTTTTTAGGGGGAAAACCTGGTCTGCTAGCTAGAGACGGTATCCATCCTACTTTGGACGGTGCAGCTCTATTATCGAGAAACACAGCAGAGGTTATAAGTCCAAAACCTTGACAACAACACAGAGTTCAGACCAGGAGGCAGAGCTGCAGTCTTACACGCTTCTCTGCGCCTCCCTTAGATCTGTCTCCCAGTCACTATAGCTGTAATTCTGAATTGAACTGTAGTTATACT